TACACTCTTTGTAGGTAGTTAGTACGTGCACTTGACATGTTTTAATTATTTTTACTTCCCTTTTTCTTTCCCCCTCCCACCTCTCTGCATCTCTTGGTCCCCTCCCCATTTGCAAAAAGATCTTTCAGCATGGTCAAAAGCTCTTCCTAATCTATACTGGGATCCTGGCTGTCAGATTATTGTTCATTCAGGTTGGTAAAGTCTATGGCCAGTTTAACTAAATCATCCCAGGGTAATGATCCTCAAATCCAAATTACTTGCAGTAACTTATTTCTCTTCATGACATGCATCAGTCATACTCATCCTCAACATTGCTGCATCCCTCAGGAAAGAGAAGCATCCCCACCTCTACCCCACCCCAATTCCACTCCTCCACACCATTCTTATTAAAAGGAAAAGGGAAAGGACAGAACTCAGGGAGGACTCTGCTGTCTCCGCCCCACAGTGACACATGACTTCCACTCACATTTCACTGAATGAATCAAGATGGAGCCTCTACTAGAGGTGGAGGTAACGTCCTGCCCGTGGCAGAGACAAAAATAAGGCGGGACAGTGACACAGTCCGCTGCGGAGGCTGCTTTTTTCTTACACAAAAGTTCTTGGACTAACTGTTGGACGACTTTCAAAGTCAATGATATTTGTTTAGGTTTTGCTAATGTATAAGTAAGAACGCTTCTTTACCTCTGGGATGCAGTTCAGTTGATTTAATTTTCCTCCAAATCTACAGAAAAATACTAATTAAAATCACTTCAAAAATTAATGAATATTTGGAAGTCCCATGATTATAATTGTAGCCTAAGGGTAAATAATATAAACGTATAAACTCAACTAATTGAAACCTTTACCATGTGCTCTTAATGAAAGAAAATAACTGAGTCCTACTCTACACCCAAGCCAGTTCTCAAAGAAACCCCAAAAAGGACTTCATGTAGTGTTTCAAACCTGAACATTCAAATATGCTGCTCAGATTTGATGCAACCTTGTCATTTTTGTACAGTGTCGTAAGAGACAAAGCTTGAGTTTCATTTGCATAGATGTTGGATTTGAGAAGGCTAATGTGACTGATTTGTAAATTTAATTGCTCTATGCTAGGATGTTCATGTATGACTAGTACACAAAGCCTGCTTCCCTACCAGAGTCATCATTGTTTAGTGTATTTTTATTTTCACTTATGTATTGATTTTCTATGAGTACACGGCGGCAGCATCTAATCTTTACATCCTTAGTGTGGAGCTGGCACATGTACATCACATATCTTCGTTCCTTTTCTAATCTCCCCCCTTTTTCCTCCATCTCTTGATCGCCTTCCCATTTAAGAAAGATCTACTTTCTTTTACTTTGCTCTTTATTTATAATTTGCGTTTCTCATATAAGAGAAACCATGGGCTGTGTAAGCTTGTGTGTCTGATTTACTTCACTTGGCATTATGGTTTTAAGGGGCATGCATTTTCCTACAGATGACTCAAGTTTATCATTCTTTCTGGTAGAGGAGTACTCCATCATATATAAATGCCAGTTTTCTTAATCCATTCTCTGTTAATGGGCACACAGGCCACTTACAAGATTCAATTATTATGAATTGTGTTGCTATAAACAGAGGAATACATGTATCAGTGTAACATGATGTCTTGAGCTATTTCTGGGATGAAACCTAAAACATAAATAATTGGGTCAAATGGAATTTCTGGTCATGATACTGATTTTCGTAGTGTTTGAACTAGTTTACACTCCCACCAACAATGTAGAAAGGTGTCTTTTTCCCTGCGTGCTAACCAGCTTTTGTTATTATTTGATTTCTTGATGATGACTATTCTTCTTGGAGTCAGATGGAATCTGTCTGTCTTAATTTGCATTTCTCAAATGACCAGCAATGTTGAGCATTTTTTCATGTATTTATTGGTCATTTATTTATACTCCTTCTTCTGTGAAGCGTCTATTAATTTCAGTTGCCTTGTTTTTTGAACGATCCTTTTTTGAGGGGAGATCTAATTTTTTGAGTTCTTTGTATATTCTGGATACTAGTCCTATGTCTGAGGCATAGTTGTAAAAACATTTTTTCCAGTTCTGTAGGGTTTTTTTTTTCACTCTCTTGGTTGTTTCTTTTTCTATACAGAAGCTTTTTAATTTGATATGACCCAATTTGTTGATCTTAGGTACTATTTCCTGTACAGTTGGGGTTCTGTTAGAAAGCCCTTGCCTACCCCTAGGATTTCAAATGTTTTATCTATTTTATCTTTCAGTTGGCTAAGCATTTGTTTTAACATTTATTCTTTGACCCATTGTGATTTTAGTTTAGTACATGGTGAAATATATGGATCTAGATTCAATCTTCTTCATGTGATAAGTTTTTCCACCACCATTTATTAAAAGGCTACCTTTCCACCAGTGGAGTTTTTCAGCCCCATTTTTCAACCAAGATCAAATGGTTGGGGGGTTGGGGATTTAGCTCAGTGGCATAAGCACCTGCCTTGTAAGCAGACGGTCGTGAGTTCGATCCCTGGTACCGATAAAAATGAAAGACAAAAAAAAAAAAAAAAAAAGATCAAATGGTTGAATGTGTTTTGGGGGTTCCCTACATCATCTATTCTGTTACATTGATCCTCAAGTCTGTTTTTGTGCCAGTACCATGCTGTTTTTATCACTATGGCTTTGTAACATAACTTGAAGTCTGGGATTGTGATGTCACCTTCTTTGCTTTTGTTACCAAGATTGCTCATGCTATTCTGGGTCTCTTCTGGTTCTATATAAATTTTAGGATTATTTTGTCCAGTTCTGTGAAGAATGGAGTTGGTATTTTAACCTCAGCTGCAATAAATCTGCATATTGATTTTGGAAATACAGTCATTTTTTACTACATTGGTTCTGTCTATCCAGAAATAGGAACTGTTCTCCATTTTCTGATGTTGCTTCAATTTCTTTTTTCAGAGTACTGTAGTTTTTGTTGTTGAAATCTTTTACTTGCTGAGTTACGCTAATTTGTAAGTATTTACTTTTCCTTGGTGCTATTGTGAATGGCATTTTTTCCTCAGTGGCTTTCTCATTAGCATATTGGTTTTTGTGCTATTGGTTTTTGTATGCTGACCTTGTATACTGCTACATTACAATCTTTTGGTGTTAATAATAATTTTGAAACAAAATAATACTCATTTGTTCATTAATTCTAAGAATCATTTGGTGGATATTTCTGGTCCTTTGAGTATTTGATGGATATTTCTGGGTCCTGCAAATGATGGCTATTTGACTTGTGCCTTTCCTGCACATATCCCCTTTTTTCTTGCCTGTTTTTGCTAATATTTTGAGGACTATGGAAAACAGAAGTGGTGATAATGGACATCCTCATCTTGAGCCTGATTTGAGAGGTAGTTTCAGATGTTCTCCATTTAATATGGTGTTGGCAGTAGGTTTGTCATAAATGGCTTTTATCAGACTGACATCAGGTCCTTCTATATCTATTTTCTTCAGTGTTTTATCATGAAAGCATCTTGGATTTTTCCTATTGAGATGATCATGTGATTTTTGTCATTTCTCTGTTTATGTTGATTTGCATTTGTTGAACTATCCTTGCATCCCTCAAATAAAGCCTACTTAGTCATGATGTATGATATTCTTGATGACTTATTACATTGCGTTTGCTATTATCTTGTTGAGGATTTTTGCATGTATATTAATTAAAGCAATTGGTCTGTATTTCTCTTTTTTGGTTGGGTCTTTGTCTGGTTTGGAAATCAGGAATATGGTAGCTTTCAGGAATAACTGTGAGCACTCTTTCAATTACATTGAAGAGTTGAAGCAATACTGATATTAGATCTTCCTGCAGTTTTTGTGGGATTCAGCATTGAATCTATCCTGACCTGGCATTTTCTTAGTTGGTAGGATTTTTATTACTGCTTCAATTTCATTCCTGTAATTGGATAATTCAGAGTTTTGAAATCATCTTGGTTCAGTTTTGGTACTTCATATGTATCTAGGAATCTATCCATTTCTTCAGAATTCTCCCATTTATTGGCATACCATTTTGTGAAAGTAGTTAATAATCATTTTGAAAAAATAATAATCATTTTTATTTTTGTAGAGTCCACTGTTACCTCACCTTCTCTAACTGCATTGATCTGGGTCCTTTCTTTCCTCTTCTTGATTACATTGGCTAAAGTTCTATTTTGTTTATGCTGATGAAGAACTCTTTGATTCTTGAGTCTATATTTTTTGTCTAAATTTCATTGATTTATGCTGTGAGATTTATAATCTTCTTCCTTACACTAGCTTTGGGTTTGAATCAATCTTGTTTTTATGAGATCCAGAGATGCATCTTTAGATTTGTTACTCTGTCTCGCATTGTGTTTATGAACGTGGGCATACACAGCTGTAAACTTTCCATTTAGGACTGCTTTCATTCTATCCCATAAGTTCTGGTGTGTTGTATTGTGTTGGTACTATAATGTAGTTCAAGAAACTGTTTCATTTTTTCCTTGATTTCTTCTGTAACTCATTGTTTAAGTATGTATTGTTTACTTTCTCTGCATATGTGTAATTTCTGTGATGAGTAACAGAATACAAAACTATAGTAGTGCTCTGTGCATTATAATCAGCAAAAATGATGTATAAATAAGGCATGCGGTACAAAAAAAAAAGGCTTTGAGGCTCTATAGACAGGTCTGCTTCAGGCTTGCCTGCCCACATTGGGGAGGGACCCTAGGGACATGGACTTGCTCCAGGTGGGGAAGAGGTAGAGTACTTTTAAAAAGTTAAACAGCTGACACTTGGGGCATTGAGTGTGTTTGCCATCTGACTTTGCCACAGTCCCTTTCTATTTTACAAAGCTTTTGAAATTATCACATTGTTTTCTAAAAATGCAGTAAATAATCTCACTTGGGTTCCTAGCTACTTTTTGCATGGTTTTGGGTAACGGGATAGTTTAAAATATTTCCCAACTTGGCTTTTGAATAATGGTCACTGTATTACTTACTTTCCTCATTGCTGAGACAAATACCTGACACCTAAGGTTAAAGGAGAAAAGGTTTATTGTGGCTTATGGTTTGCAGAGGTTTCAGTCCAAGATAGTGTATCATGACAGAGAGGCACCACAAATTAGAAGACAAGCAGCAGCAGAAATATGCCACAGGCCACAGTAGCAGCTTCTTCCTGCTCCTTTTATAGTCTACGCCACCTGTTTTAGGGTGGGTATTACACTAATCAATGGACTAACTTAGTAATCACACACCCTTCATCCCAGCATCATATGTTCTAGATCCAGCCACCTCTGAAAAAGCCCCAGCTATAAGTGTATGAGGCTTGGGGGGAGACATCGAACCATAAGTCATAATGATTTGATAACTACTGCCAATTGTTTTGACCACAAAATTCATTTTCCCATGAGACAGTAATAATAGGTAGCACTCTTCTAAGGGCTTGCCTGTATCACTAATCCTCAAAATAACCTTATGAATTAGGCACCGGTATTATCCCATTTTCTAGATGACCATTATATATATATGGCATTATATATGTATTAAACTATTTGTATATATATATTTTTGACACAGGTTCTCAATATGTACTTAGGCTGACCTTAACACCCTATATGACTGAAGCCAGTCTTGAACACATGGTGATCTTGCTGCCTGGGCCGCCCCAGTACTGAGGTTACCACCATGTGTCACCATGTCTAGCTACAAGTGATTTATACATGCTTGCTTTAACATAATCTAAATTCAGCGTTGGAAAAATAACATGTTTTGCAGGCTTTATCAGTAAGGCTCAAGTTAGCTAGTTAAAAGCAGGAAGTGATCAGAAGAAAAGGAAGTAGTAGCAGAAGCCTTTTTTAGAGGTTTCCTGAATCTTGTGAGTCTCTCAATAAATGAATTTCAAATGAAAAAAGGCTTAGGCAATTATTTTAAACTACTGGTCAAAGGAGAACTACTTTCCGTTTACCTCCAAGTCAACAAATAATCTTCCAGTTCTTGCAAGAAGCCAGACCTGAAATGTATATAGGGGTCATGTTATGATCTTAAAACATCAGCCTTTTCTAATTTCCAAAAGAATGTAGATGCTCAAGAACCATTTTTCAAGTCGGAAAAGAAACAAAATGTACAAATCCCAGTATTTCCTCTTGGTGGCTGACTGCCTCACATTAGCTATGGGGCTAGGATAGCTACCCCAATAGTCACCAACAGGAAGCCTAAGAAAGCAGCTCTGACAACACAGCCCCATGTTTAACTGGAAAGTCTTACCCTCTTGTAAGTATTTTGGTGGATTAGTGTATATGTAGAAGATGTCTTGATAGTGATAATTTCTTTCATATCATATGATTAAATTTAACACACTTAAATTCAGGTTCATAGTTCCAAAATTGTATAATTAAAATATCATTAAAAAGTTACATAAGAAAAAAAAAGAATCACGTGAAAGCTTTGAGTCACTTTTTAAATTCTATTTGATAGTTTCAATTTGCTGTAACTTTTTCACTAGCCTTCTTCAAAAAAGGGTCCAAAAAAAAAAAATCAGTGGACTCGTCCTTTCTCTAAATTTAAAAGAGTAACATTTGTCCCTTCTCACCTGTTCACCTTTCAAAATAGAAACTAGAAAATAATCTATTACTGTTTTCTTTCTATATCTGTTAAGTATACTACAGGGCATTAAACATCAGAAGAATTTTATAGGAAAATTAGAAATTAAGAAAACTGGAAGGGAAACCATAACTAGATTACTAGTAGTTATGGTCAAGAATGAGGAGTTAATCAGAATAATAATTAGCTGTGTCCAAGAGACTGAATAAAATCCAGGTGTGTCATCGGTAAGTCAGATGGAAAGGTTATGCAGTAGTATTTACCTCCCTCCCTTCTAAAACTTTATATTCTTTTTCCTGAATATACCATTACTTTCAGCATTTTCGTGCTGAATACCATTAAGCAGTAATAAAAGCCATCCAAGTAATTTTGTAATGATCTAAACTGCCTTTTTAAAAGAAAGGTGATTAAGTGCTTCACACATGATCACTTTTTCCATGTTCTTCCGGTTAAAGAACATAGAAAAAAAAATCTAAACATGGCATGGGTGCCACGTGCCAAAGGTCACACAAACTGTAGGCAGAGCCAGGTTCCCTAGTTACTAATGTAGTGCAATATTTTAAGATTCATTAGGTTACTGAATCTAGCGATAAATCAGTGACTCATTTCCACACACCCTTTCAGCTTCATAAAAGTCATCTTATTAACTTCTGTGCATGAATGCGTTTAAACCTAATTATTTCAAGAAATCATCTGTAAACATTTTCATATTGTAGTGGAATATATGTGTAGGTTCAGGGAATAACTCGAGTTTACACGATCCTTGGTTCTTTTTCTACAGGTGCAAAAATAATAGACCAGTGACATCGGATTGAAAGGATTTAGAGAACCAGTACTTTGATGCTTCTATTTTAAAACGATAGAAGAACTTTCAAATCAGAAAAGCACCTACAATTTTGTTTTCATGGAACCGCTGCTGTTCAAAGACATTTCCAAAGCATCGGTGTATATTCGAAGAGTATTACAAATAAAGGGTAGATGGTAGGAATCGGCAATACTGTAGATCTTTTGCAAATGGCAAGGTGACCTAGAGATGGAGGACAGAGAAATAAAAAGAATTAGGATGTTATGTATGTATACTAATTTCGCACGATGGATGTAATCATTGTATGCTACAAACATGTACTACTAAAAACATTTTAAGTCATTTTTCCTCCGTTTTCTCTTTTCGTCCTCCACAAACGCCAACCCTCTAAATGGCTTAAGTCGCATAGCTGAAAGGATTTTGATCATTTTTTCCAAAACACTTCATATCTGGGTAGCAGCCAGCCATGGAAAGTTTCGAGCACATTTTGAAGAGGGCTGAAGCTGGCCTTCGTGGGGCCCCGATGGGGATCGGAACCCTGGGGAGCAGCTGCGAGCCTCGACCTCGGGTTCGCGACAGCCGGCAACGCGTTAAAGCCGCCACGCGCCGCCCGCCCCAGGCCGCAGGGGCTCGAGCCTGCGCCTGCTCTACACAACGCGAGGCCCCGCAGTTCCCAGGGGACCCTCCTGCATCCCGAAAGGCGAGGATTTCCGAGCCCAAATCCCCGGCCCGCACCTCCGGAAGGACCCAGGGAATGAGGGGGGGGCGCTCGGCTGGCTCCCAAGACTCACGCCTCACACCCGCTGCGTCGCCTGCTGCAGGCCCCAGAGCCCCCGGCACGGAGAGAGAGTTGACTGCTCCCCTAGCCAATCAGAAGCGAGGTAGAGGGTTTGAGCCAATCGGCGCTGGCAGAGGGGACGGGCCGCCGGCGTGTGCCCGCCCTGTAGGGCGAGCGCGGAATGTCTCCAGCCCTCCCCTGCGCTCGGCCTCAGTGCAGAGCCGTCCGCGGTCGGCGTGAGGAGGAGCAGCTGCGGAGTGCGGCCCCAGAGCTGCGGCGGGTGTCGTAGTCGGGACCACCCCCGCGTCGCCGGCCTCTCTTTTCCTTTCCTCTCCTCTCGCCGCATCGCCGGAGACCGCGTTCCGGAGCCAGCGCCGCCTACGCCGAGCATCCTGTGGTTCGGTCCGGCCCGGCGGGCGCGCGGCCTCAGCGGCATGATGCGGCTGCGGGGCGCGGCGGTGCTGTGCGAGCTGCTACGGCGGCCGCCCGTCGCCGTCGGCGCGGCCCTGCGGCGGGCGCAGCCCTTCTTCACGCTGTGCCGGCGCCCCCGGCTCGGGGCCCGGCCGGCTGCGGGCCCGGGGGCCGCGCGGCTGCACCCGTGGTGGGGCGGAGGCGGCGGGCGGCCGGCGGTGCCGCGCGCGGGGGCCCTATCCAGCTCACCCTCGGAGATCCTGCAGGAGCTGGGGGGCAAAGGGGGCACGCAGCCCGGGGCGTCGCCGCCCACCGCCCCGCAGGCGCCCGGCCCCAAGGACGGCCCCGGGGACGCGGACGCGCTGGGCCACGGCGAGGGCAAGGAGCTGGTGGTCGCCGGCGACAAGTGAGTGTCCGCGAGGCGGCGGGGGCCGAACGTGTGCGGGGAGGCTGTGGTCGGGCGGCAGGAGCTGGGTTCCAGAAAGAGAAAGGAAGATGCCGCTGCCTGCGCCGCCCGCGCCACGTGACGAGGCCCCACCCGCTCGCGCGCGCCCGCGGTCCGCACCCTCTTCCCCACCCCGCCGTGCGCGGGGCGCAGGGTGGCGCTCGGGGACCCCCGGAACTACCGTGGGCCCACCCCGACCCCCGATATCCGACGGCGGAACCCTCCGCCTCTCCCTTGCCGCAGCCCCTCCCGGGCCGCCTGGCCCTCTGTGGGTGATGCCACGCGCACGTTGCCAGCGGTGACATTTGGGAGTCTGGCGGGGAGCGAAGCCTAGAGTCTTCGTGACTTGTCGGCGTTCCAGGCTTGAGTTTCGGCCCCGCCCGCCCGCCCTCGGTCCCTGCTTTCGTCTCACTGGAAGTTGCATGTGGCAGGCCGATCTTCGTTAGGGCTTCCAGGGTAGCTCCTCCAGGCGATCGAGTCGGAGAGCGGTCTGCGCCTCCGGAAATAGTGTTTCAGAAATGAGATTAAGAGCAGTAGAAGTCATGTGGCCCAGAAAGAGGAGGCACGCAGCACTGAGCACCTGTGCGGCGTGCCAGGCCTGCCTGCCTGATGTCTTCGCGACAAGGACAGATGTGTCAAAGTCTCGTCGCCGAGATGAGATGTAACACGAAACATAGGGTTTTATTTTTTTTGTTTTTTCACTTGTGATACAACGTTGAATCATCTTGTATGTATGTGTGTAGCACAGTAATCGGTTTGGGCTCCAGATTGATTTTTCTTAAAACTAGAGATAGCTTCATTGCATATACATGAGTGTAAAGCTTTTTTGTTTAAACCGACGCTGGTCTGTCTTTATGCCCTACTACTTTTCTGAGTTTACATTGACACAGTATGACCTGTTTTTGCTTCCTTTGCACTTATCACTGTGTCCAGCCCTAGGGTACTTCAAACTGAAAGTATGAGTTTTATGACATTCTCAGGCCTATTTGATATTTCCTGTAATGGAAGTTGAGACCTTCCTAAAACGTTTCTAAAGTTGTTTTCCCACATTCAAGAACGTCATTGTAAAAAACAAAAATCAGTTGGTAATAGGCAAAATTTGTGATATTCTTTGATACGTGGATGGTTTACGGTGCAAGTTGCCTCACGACCACGGGCATCTTATTTATATGTGGGGTTAGATGGCTCATGTCTCCTTAAGTCTAAGATCCTAGACTTTGGCTAAATTTGCACCTCTTCCTAATGTTTTAGAGACTAGAATTTGAGCTTGATTTCTTCTGGGACTCGTTGCTACCGAAAAGTCATGTGGTTTAACAACCACGTAGTGCGTTTAAGTACACGTACCCAGAGTTAACAGATGCAATTAGAACCACTTGAAAGTTATGGATAAGTGCTGTAGGATGAGACCTACGTCCTATTACAATGTGTGCTTTGGTGGCTGTAGCCCCCCCTCCCCCCCATGTCAACGTGATTTACTTCCAGTTTTTGGTTTTATTGCCTTCTTTAGGCAGTAGCTTTGAAATGCTATTTTTGGCTGATGTCTCATCTTGTTCTCCCTCCTTCCCTGCCCTGCACCCCAAAAAACACCCAATAAAGGTCTAGGGAGGTCATTCTAGATCTCAGATGCCCTGAATTTAAATGGCAATAAGATAACTTTGTTTACCTTAATTCACGGGAGACGTTTAGGGTGTGTGCACATGTGTGTGTCATCAAACTTTGAAGTACAAATAGGTTGAGAATTCAAATAGATGGTAACCCACAGCTGTCACTGGCTAGAAGGAACCCCACAGCTGTCGGTAGCCTACACGCAGTGAATGAGGAGCACTGCCCTCAAGGGTGTGAAGAAGACATTTAAGTGTGGTTAAAGTTTCTGTTTCCCCGACTCACCTGGTTTCTAAATGCAGCTTTCCTCCTGTGACTCCGTCCATTTTGCCATGTGTGACCAGTGTGTCCCCTACGCTGGGAGATAAGCTTCCGCTTGATCCTGTTGTCCTCCCCACGCACAGGTCATCATCGGTCAGTGCCGCCTGCAGGACCCTCCTCACCCTGCGCTCTGACAGCGATGAGCGAATTACTGAAAGAAGTGGGTGTGGGGCAAATTCAGTGCGATGCTCTTTTGTAAAGACCTTGGGACAATGTTTGGCATGTGTTAAAAGCTCTTTATTCCTTAAGTCAGAGTAAAAGGTCTTCATTTATCAAAGCCTGTCAAGGACGTTGGCCTTTGAATTTCGGGCTCATAGACAAGAGCTTTTTAGTCCCCAAGAAAAATTTCTCTTGAGAAATCAGTGTACATTTGTCTTGTGTGAAATTGATTCCTCCTGTTTCCGTTTTTGCTCTGCTGAAAGGTAAGATCAGAGTGAATTTAATGCCCAACCACAACTTCATTAGTTCATGCGCTGAGATGTTCCTGTTTGTTTGCCTTTTCGTGGTGCTGGCTTTATCTCATTTGTAGGAGTCAGAGTATAAATCAGTTAGCTTCCCACGAGCTCTTGGGACCCTTGTCACTCTAGGCTGCACCATCTCCTTTGTGCACCTGCAATCTGATTGACAGACGGATTAGATGATTAACGTCTTAGAGAAGGCATGATGATCTTTCCTCATTTTTCTTTCTAGTAGTCTAATTGAATTTTACCACCGTTCATTCCATCACTTCCTGAAAAACCAACCTTCTTGGCTTTCTTCATTTTGTTTCTGCTTTTCTGGACCCCTTGGGGCTGGCTGTCCTCACTGGGTACACCCTGATGCTGAGGCCTCTGCTTCTTTGCCTTTTAACCTTTCTCGCTTCCCAAGGAAACAACCCTTCTTTTAGCCTCTCTCACCTTAGTGTAGGTAAAATACCTCAACTCTGAATCTGAGCTCTGTTCCATATTCATCTCTCCCAATCTGATGACCTCAAATTTAAAATTTGTGACTCTGTATCTAGCTTTTCTAATTCAGTCTGTTTTATATACTATTATAAGATTGTGGTTTAGAATTTCAATTTAAAGTATCATTCTCTTTGCAGAAAAGAACACAAACTGGGGCAATAACATAGCCATTTCACCAGCTGTTACAGCAGTCAGGAGCCTTGCTTAACTTGACTGCTAATGCTTGCCTGAGTGGACGTTTTTATCTGACCTTTACCTTTTCTGTCAGGCATGCCAAGCTTACTGTATGTCCTGAGTGACGGATCCTAGGGAAAGGGCAGAGGGAGAGGGTCGCAGAAGCATTGTGAAATTACCTTTGTTTGCACATTTTATTTATTTAGAAAGGAAAGATCATATATAACAGGATGCAAGCTGAAAAACACCAGGTTACATATAATCCTTACAAAATAGGTAATTCTATAGGGTACAGTACTAAAAGGATTCTGTTACAAAAGCATTTTTACTTGTGGGATGGGTAGGAGTTAGTATCAGGTAATAGAAAAGAGAGAAAAAGCCAGTATCAATTAGCTCAGCCACTTGGAAGGGCAGTTTAGTAGGATCTGTTGAAAGCTCCCTTCTGTCCCTGACACGATGGTACATGTGTCTCATCCCAGCTACTATGGAGACTTAAGCACGGCAGGAGGATTGAACTTGGAGGCCAGCCTGGGTGACCGTGATGGACACTGTCTCAAAAAAAGAGAGGCCCTGGGTTGATTCTCAGTACGACAAAATAAAGCAGCCTGCCCATTATGCATTATGTATTTGCACGTCAAGGTCAGGAAGCATAATTTAGAATATATTAAAATTTAAAAATGCAAGCTGAATAATTCTGGCTAGCTTCAGATAGTGTGCCTTGATATTTTGGTGGTGAAGGGCAAAGCAAATCATACGTGTTTCAGCAGGCATTGGATTGGGTCCACAGATCAGTATTGATAATGAAGTCAAGACTTTATTTTGGCAGATACAGATAATATATTTTGGGATTGAAAGACACAACCTGTTTGGAAATAGGTGGCAAATGCTTTCATTGTATTCATTCATTATCCTTCTGTATTGTATTGGCCTTAATATTTTAAAGTATATATTTCACTAAAGTCAACATTGAAAGAACATCTAATTTTTTACTTATGCTTCTTAACGCCTCAGTTATCTTATTCGTGTTTACCTCAGTATTAAAACTTTCCTAGATCATGTTTATCAGTGAGATGACTTTTATTGTTTTTTGTAATACTGAGGATCTAACCTAGGTGTAGGGCCTTATACAAGCAAAAACATGCTCTACCACTAATCTCTAGCTCATTAGCTTTGGTAGGGCAAATGACAATACCAATGATTATCATTATAGTTTTTGTAGTCTAATTGCATTGAACCACATGCATTTATTAGCCATTGACACATGCACATGATCTAGAATTAGCAGTGCTACTTTATTACTAAAACAGTGCTATTTTATTAATATTTAGATGAAAGATCAAAAATTTAGTCTTGAGTTTTAGCTTGTTTCCAGACTTTACTGTTTATAGCAATGTTTGCCTTAAAATTAGGTGAGGAAATGACTGCCACATAGAATTTAATGGTTTTTTATGGGGCAACAATATGTAGGCAAAAGAGGAAGCAATACTCTTAATTTGAAAAAGGTAAATGTCACCTTGAAGAGAAAATTTCAGGAGATATTTGTGTGTTTTGAAAAATTGTTTGAAAGAAACCAGGAAAAAGCTGTACTGCTCTTCCATTTGAAGTGAAGAAAAATCATGCCTGTAGAAACTGAAAGTCTAATTATAGTATTTCCATTCTTTAAGGAGCTCATATTAAATCCTATATAACTCCGAGTTCTGTTTTATAGTTACTTGTACCTAATCACCATTTAAGTCACTTGCTTTTAAGAAAAATACTTAAGAAAGTTGAGGGGCCAGATAATATTTATAAAGGTCGTTACTAGTTTCTTGGTATCTCTCAGTGAGGTCCACATAATTTGCACGTAAAGACACTGCTCTTTTGGTTTCACTCTCGAATCACATTTTTAAAATTTAAATTGCTTCAGTTACAAAACAGTGCCTGTGGCTGACCCTGTGCATGGCAATTTTCTGACCTCCAGCAAGGTGGAAGTAAAATGTCCACGTGTGCCTTAGGGTCTTTTGAGAAGTATCTTCTGCTCCCCTCGGCTTGGTGTGTGACACTCACTGCTTACTGAATTCTACAGAAATGTTTATAACCAAAGAGCTACTCTCACAATAGTGCTGCTGGCTTTACATAATGGATAAAAAGTGGAGCGCAGTCAGGATTTGGAAATAGTTTTTTGTCAACTCATGCTAGTGCTGGCTTCTAAGGAACATTTGAAATGTCATAGTGATATTTTGAGTGACAGGTGCTTTGATTTTTGGTAGGAGTTATTAAAAGTACAAATTTCCTGAAGGCCAATTTTTTTAAGTTGCATGAAGTCATAAATTAGTCATACTTTGCTAGGAATCTAGGTTAGCAAAATAAGCTAAAAGTATAGAAAGATTTATTCACTAATATTTTTGGTACAATGTTCCACACATTAGAGAAAAATGGAAAAAAGTGTGTTGAACTTCAGTAGGATGGTTAAGTCAATTATGGTACATTCACATGTGACTCTCTTATTTAGATATTTCAAGTGATACGGTTACTTTTTAGGCATAGAAAAAAGTGGAATGTCAGGCCAAAGGTTAGAATACAAAATTCCGTATGACATATGCTGTCAAGTAATCTTAGGCTTTTCAACAAAGTTTAGAGAAAGTAACAGAAGAAAGCAGGCCAGGATGACAGGAGCAGAAGTGGTTTATGGGAGTGGGTATTGTTTTTCCTGCTTCTCCTTGCATTTCTGATTCCCCATTATAAGTAGCAAACTTGCAAAGCAGTGGAAAATATGTAACTTCTGAAGTCAAAGGAATCTCCTCTGTTAAATTTTCAACTTGCACTTGCTGCTTAGGCTATTACCCTAATACCCAGTTTCTGGTTGTATGAGACTATAATCACTATTAAATTGAAAAATTATGCAAGAAGATCCGGAATCTTTTATAATTCCTATTGTCACTGTTATCCTTAAAGATCAAACTGCTAAAATTCTGCACTATTATTGGTAGAATTCTTCTTAGAAGATGCTGCATGTTTCTCTGCCATAGGAAAATACTATATGATGAAAATTTACATTTTTTGTTTAACTTCTGTTCACCATCAGGAAGTATTACCAAATACGATGCTATAATACAGTAATGCTCTAAGCAGGTGCTGGCAAACTATCTGTGAAAGGCCAAATAATATGCTCAGCTGTTTTTTTTTTTTTTTTTTTTAATCTTTTACCTTTCTTTAAATAGCTATTGAGGTGAGCTGTGGTGCAGAGTGGCCATTAGCCGTAGGTAAGTGAATGCGCCTGTCTTCCAGTGAAACTCCTCTTGGAGAAAGAGGTTGGCCCCTGCCATATAGTTTACTTACCTCTGTGTTAAAGTATATTTCGTTGTGAGTGGTTTTCTTGTACCCTGATGGGTTTAGCTCTTTGAA